GGGTCATCTAGATCCACCGTGGGCTCAGTCGTGAGACCGGCTGGGACTGCTACCGATGAGGTACTGTTCCCAGGAATAGCAATAGCGTCCATGGCTGTGGTTAGAGCACTACGGCTGATAACCTATAGAAACAGCCGCTAAGCTACGGTTCCTTTGGGCCGCGAGCTACAAGGTCAGATCATGACATCCTTACATATTACATGGAGTGAAAATACACACGTCAAGTAAGTGACAATTGGTCTGGAGAATCTCTCGGGTGGTTCTTGCGCCGCCATCCTGGGCGCTTTCTACATCAACCCCTCTTTAGCTCGCAGCACCCATTCCGGGTGGCACCAGCTGCCACGTCATAAATAGTCCAAAAACTGTGGCTCACCAAGACCCATGCTGGTCGACTTTTGAAAGAGTTTTGTGGGAACCAAAGTCTGGAATGAAACGAAACTCCCCCCTCGACATGCCTAAACCTATTGCACACTTTCTGCCCACCAAACCTGCGTTCACACCACTCACGCCATCATCACGCCCTTTACCCGTCAGACATGCGCAAAAGCACCTCCGTGCGCAAAACATCTTTGATCCCACTTCAGGACCTCAGAACAAACCATTCGTGCCAACCGTTCGCCCCACACCTCCGCGGCAGGTATCACCCGTTCGGGGTCCCACAAGCGCTGCGGCGCTGGAATCTCGACCTCCTTGGGCTCTTCAGCGCAGCAGCACAGCAACATCTGGAGCGAATGGGCCACGCCAAGCACGAAAGCAGCGGGGCACAACTGGAGATGGCTGCGGTGGTGTGAAACATGATGATTTGCAAAAGAAATGATAGTTTGCCTACACTACGCCAAAAAGCACATATGAAATATATTAAATATTTGTCAGTAGTCCAGAATGTGCATATAACAATAATTGCAACAACACCGACGATAATAACAATCGGGCATCGCGTTTTTTGCGTCGGTGATCGGTGTTTCTTGCGACGGTAGCTTCATCGGTATTTCTGCGTCAGTTCGTCGGTGTTTTTTGCGAAGGTGCACCGTTCTGCAAGTGTTTTCTGCGTCGGTGGTTTTTTCTGCGACGGTAACCGGTGATTTTTGCACCGGGAAGCGGCGTTTGTTGCGACGGCTGCAAGCTGTGGGACGGCAACCGGTGGCACGACCACTTGTATCCATACAACTAATTAGTGCTGCTGCTACTACCACTACTTTTGCTAGTGCTAGTGTTAGTAGTACTACTACTTCAACTTCTACTACTACTGCTGCTACTACTACTTCTACTACTACTACTACTCCCTGCAATAGCGTCAAACGAAACTTGTTCCCGTCGCTGGTCTCAAGCGCGAGCTCTTCCGGCTTTTGACTAAGGCGCAGCCGGACCATGATCAAATCCTTTGTGGAAGTTTGGCGAGATGTCACCAAGCACTCTTTCTTCTGATGGTAGATGAGCTCCTGCTGCAAGGATCCTTTCCACTTGTTATACTTCTCCTGCTGCTTTTTTGGTAAAGTCTTCCCAGCCCATTCCAGTTTGGCGATCTTTGCAGACCACTTGTCCTGCTCTGAGATGAACTGGCATATGCGAAACTCTATTGAAATCGGCATCCAGCGCGGCAATGCCATTCTAGCGGCTCCATCATCACTGCCCTGGATGAGCCATTGATGGAGGGATTCTCCAACCTCAGCCAGTTCTAGAGCAGCAATGACTTCCAGAACCAAAGCATACCAAAGCTTAAGTATAAGAGCGCAAACAAGTCTAAAGTTTCATTTGCCACACCCCCAGTCTAAAGTTTCACTTGCCACACCCATTTTTACATTATAATACAAATATATATAGTAAATGTTGTATAGAGAGATGTTTTCCAGAGTAAGAATCGCGCAACCAAGACACCAACTCCTGGGCACGCATGTGATGAAATTCACCGGATGCAGGCTCATTCTCTTCCAGTTCAGTCAAATCCAATTTCCGGATGATATTCTGCATTGACCACTTGTGTCTGGCCAAATCTTTTGCAGCTTCGCTCTCCTTGCCTAATTGCGTGCAGGGGGATAACTTAGAACATGTGTAAGTTCCACGTGGTTGAAGATTGCATTAAAACCATCCGCACAGCATTTGATATGTTTGTTTTTTCCTCTCTCTCTCTCTCTCAGTATCGTATATATATTAATTAATATATATATATATTTATAGTTGTCTGGCATTTGGTGAAGCAATGCAGGCCAGAAACCATCATAGTGCCACCTGCCCATATCAGCAAAAGTCACGTAGCCGCACTTGATCCAGGCCATCCGGATCAGTCTGTTGGTCCTGATCAAAAATGAGCCCAACAATCATTCTTCCAGTTGATTCGCAACTTAGAACATTACTCCACTAGCCCAGTGTCAAGTTCCACCCCAACCACAAGCCACTCAGGGCTTGTTTTACATTTCATGTGAGGCACTCGCCACTCAGAACTTGCATAGCCCAGGCATCTGCTCGCAATGAGGTCTCCACAGAACACCTTGCAACATGCAGGATTTGACTTTACGCGTGCATGTTTATGCCTTTGCGTGTCACTTCTCCACTGTAACTGATCTTTTTGCATCCTTTCACTTGCTTTTTAGTATCCCAAACAACGAACAGCAAACGAAAAAAGCGGTGTATAAATATATATAAAGTGAACTGGCAAAACTTTTAACTCAAAGGCACTTTGTTGATGGCCGGCCATGTAATCCCATCTCCAGCTCGTCCAAATTCCTTCTCAAAGATGGGTGGCCGCCCCAGCCAGTAGTCACTCTAAGGTAGTAAATGCATGGCTTGGTGCCATTGATCGTTGGGTTGGCCTGCCGCGCCAAACCCACCTGGAATCGGAATCTCACTGTGCCCCGACATAAGTTCCTGGGCGGTGGAGGCTGCAAGGGGCAACAGGTTGGTTAGCAGGTTAGCACCAGAAACCACAACGTTCTAAGTTCCACTTTCTCAAACAAGGGAGTCTGTCCTTGGATGTGTTATTGACAAACACCGTATATAAGCCATAAAACCTGGACTGCCTTGGTGTGAGTGTTTGTCCACGTTGGTGTTTTTTGCGGAAGTATGCAAAATTCTTAAGCAGCACGCGTTTAGGGATACATGGATTTGTACACAATTATACAAAAGTTATTTTTTGTTGCATATTGAACGTTCTAAGTTCCCGCACACCCACCCCACCCACCACTTCCCCAAAATGTATATACAAAGATGAGGCACGATGTTGTGAGTTTGGCTCCAGCGATCTTGCAGCTTCTTGTATTTCCCGGACATGTGCGCAGGCGCCTGGTCGCAGAAGCAAAGGGCCCTGTCCTTCAGAGTCAGCCCAAGCTCGCGCCGTTTGGCCCTTACGTCCTGCAATGAGCCACTGGGAGCAAGACTTCTTTAACATTATTCTGTGTATATGTATTTATGTAAGAACATAATATATACATATGCATATATGTGCATCATGATATAGCGGCAAAATTAACGGCCCGGAGCAATGCGTGTAAGTGCACACATGGTTGCGCTCCTCACTGAGGTGGTCCAGGTCCTCAATGAAAGTCCGTTCGTTCCACATGTGAGATTGCTCATTGAGGCTGGACACCATGAGCCACCTGGAGAGATCTCCATTGATCTGATTGCGCACTTTCTCACTGATGTCTCCCTTCTTCATGGTCACAAACAGCCGTCCTATAGATCCATCTATGTAGGACAGTGTTGTCACTGTGCGAGGGCATCTCCACTGGTCGACCAAGGCCCCCGCACACTCTTTCCCCTGAACTTCTGGGCGGCGAATCGTGGCATCAGTGGATTCGGCTTCAATGCCTGGCAAACTTTCAGTCAAAGGAAGGTCAAGGGCTCTCTCAATGAAGTGCCACGCACGGCGAAGGACCGTGCTTCTGCCAAACTGGTCTACTGGTTGCTGACCACTGCTTTGCTGGAGCACATGCTTTCTAGGCCTGAAGCGTAAAGACCAGACTTGGTCGAAGTTAAGGATCAGCCTTTCATGGGTCCCGCACTCCTTGCAAGTCTTCTGGATGAAGACACGGACTGCTTCCGAAGCAGGATCTGAATAGTCCAGGCGGGCACCAGGTTTTTCGTGGTTTCTCATGAGCAAACCAGCCTTCTGAGCAATCCTTCGGGCATGGTACCTAAGTTTCCTGTGTACAATACATAGTATTTATATATATATATTGAATTTTTATATATACACACATATTTTAGTTTTCTATAGGAAGAGGCCTGCATGTTCTATGTTGGGCTCCCTGCAAGGACAAAGGCAACCCACAAACACCCTTTCCAACTTCAATCCAAGGCACCCAATAGTGCATTCGCTCTTTCAAGGATACTGGAAGAAGGGTGTCTTCGAGGCTCTTGCGGAAGTCTTCCATCACCTCTGTCAGCTCTGCAGTGGACATTTTGCTGAGCTCATCCTTGGACCTCAAAAACTCCATGCTGTATTCAGAAATGTTCCCACGGATGGTTTCAACGCAAGAATTCCAAATCTCCACAAAGGGAGATACCGTGCCCTTGACATATTCAATGTCCACTTCCTGTCCCAAGTCGATGCGGTCCGTGATCAAGGATGCTACGCACTGCTGTAGCGGCACTGGCAGGCTTGCCAGTGAACCATCTTTGTTGCGTCGCTCGCTGAACTTTGAGGGAAGCTTCAGCATAGCTCTCAGTGAGTCTGGTAGCTCTTTGTGCCGCCGAGTCAATTTGGGGGCAGCTGCCACCAACAAAGTCCAGGACTGCTCTCGTCGCACTTTCATCCATTTGCTCTCGTAGATGCAACCATGGTAGTATCCCCTCATGTGCTCTACCTTCTTGGCTGGTGCCTTTGCTCCTGATTCACGAGCCTCTCCATAAGCTTTGCAAATGGCTTCCTTGTCTGCAATGCTAGCCACATTTGACTTGCCCTTTGCTTTCCTATTCCCTTTGCCTCCACATCCTCTTCTCACCCGCTTTCTGATTTGCACCATATCCACATGCTGCTTCTTCCGACAACGATGCGCTGGGACCACTGCAGTCTCTTGATGCTTGCGTTTGGTGGAATCCACTCTCTCCACTGCCTTGTCCTGCAGAGGCCTCAATGAAGCCTGGCTGTCCAAGTCCTGATGTTCAGGAACTTCGGTCTCAACATTCGTGGCGCTTTCTGGCATGCACAGGCACGTCAAGCACACGGCCTGACAGACTGTGGACGTGAAACTGTTTCCTGCGCAATCCTGGCCCATGGCAGAGGTTCTGGAAGGCCTCCTTGTTGGCAGCATCTTGCTCCCAAATGCCCTGAACACCCAGCAGCTCAGTTGAGGTTAGGGTCCGCTCAAGAAGCGTAGAATACACTTGATGGTTTGGAACCACACATGTGCTGACCTCGGGCGCATACTCAGTCTCCCGAGATTCTGAAGCGCTCAGATCCACAAATACAGTGAGGTTCGAGCCAGCCTCAGATTGCGTGGTCTCAGGAATGTTTAGGTATAGGACGTTCTAAGTTTGGTGTTTAGAAGCATGAATGCCGGCACCTTCAGGAACCCACCAGAGACAAAAGGTACCATCACGGTAGCAAGCTACTGCCAGAGTTTTGTCCAGGGCATTGCGCAAGTGCAGTTGCATTCGCGGTTTGGTGATCTCCTCCTTTGGAAGGTCTGCAAAGCACTCTGCCATGGGGAAGTGGCAATTGGTTTCAAGAGCTCGTATCGTCGACGAATATGCCTTTTGGAAATTACACAAGCCTCGGTCGCCTGTGTTGACAGCTGCCACACGCCAGACCCTGTTCCGGCGCTGCCGGACGAGGAAATTCTGCGAGTCCAAGATTTCCCACGCCTGGTGCGTTGATAAACTGAATGCAGTTGTGCATGTGTACAGACAGCCAGATCGGGGAAACTTAGAACATAAACTTTGAGTTTTTCTGACAGAATTGGTTGAAGCATGATTCAAACACAACTTTCATTCAAATCCACGTCCAGGCGCAAAATGATAGCCAATAGATTTGGCATCCTCCGCGACAACCTAAGGCATGGTCAGTCCATAAACTTAGAACAGTGTTTTTTTCATTGTCATGCCTAGAGTTTCCCAAACCATCCCAAACCTAAAGCACAAAGAAACAAACACGCACAAACATACATATATATATATATACATACATACATAAAAGATTCCTTGGCAAGCAGCCTCGATTGCTGGCCGGGAAATAGTCCCACAGGGTTTCCGTGTCCGGAAGCATGCCCCTCGCACGTTCTCGTACAAGGCGATTCGCGGTGAAAGGAGTTCCACTACCTCAGAGTTAGATTCTACCGTCAAAAATGGGATCTATTAGGTAGTAAAAAACTTCAAAGTATATATATATATATCTATTTATTCGATCTCAGTCAAAAAGCACCAAATTTCAATGGTATTTAATAGGTAGTTCAGCCACGTTCTAAGTTTAGTGTGCTTCAGCCTGGAATTAGACGGTGAAGGCACGCGCGCACAGGTGTCTTCTCACATCTGCTAACAAGGTACTCCTTTCCAGCCATGTCTATATGTTGTGCCACTTGTTGCAAGGCTATCTTCATCCTGCTCCGCCTCGTGGCAACCGGCATGGTCAGCTCTGGTTGACTTGCAGGTGCCTTACTTCAGACAAGGCTGTCACAAATACCTGTGTTTTCTCACACGCGTAAAAGGTAGCCATCATTCTATGTACAACTATGTGTATATATATATATACGTGTGTGTGTGCGTGTCATTGTCTTGCAGCATATGCCACCGCGGAAACGGCAAGAGTAGAAACCGCGTCTGAAGCTGACAAGGGACTGACGTCCTTACAAGAAGGGCCACAAGTGAGCCAGTCAATCTTCATGGTCTCAGCTGTGATACAGTGAACAGCATTGCACTGATGGCAAAAGCCGCGTCCCTCCGTGAAGACCTTCACATCATTATAGATGTGCTCCGGAGCATGTGCCTGCATAATGTAATTCCGCTTCTGTTCATTTGCTTCAGCTGAGAACACGTGTTTCAGCAAGATGTCGACCTTGCACCAACAACATCTGAATTAAAGGAACAACTGCATATAGAAATGCAATATTGTCAAATACTATTGGATACCTGAAACAGTTCTTGAACGTTCTAAGTTGCATTCTCATATAGCCCTGAAAGATTTGTGATTTTAATTTGTTGCGCAAATCCGCATATATAAGTATTTATATATATATATATACATAAAATGTTGAACGAGCGCCCGTTAAGAAAGGCTGCATTCAAGACACCCCGAACTCATTGTTCACCTTGTCAATGATGGATTGCATGGCCACGACGCATATATCTGTGCCACTGCAAGTCGTTCCGAACCTGATCTGGAAGCCATCCAGGTCCTTCGCGTTCTTTTGGGGCATCCTATAGTGCGCGAGAGGCAGCAACCTCATGAAAAATCATTGGTTGAAGACAATGATGGCTTGGGCAGCGGTATATCAACGCCACATAGCAATTTGGAGGCATCACAAACGAAGTGCCTGTATCGCAGCTTGTTCTGGATGAACTTCACCTCGAAAGGATGTTTCATGAATTTCACCCCAGCCACATGCCAAAGGTAGATCTTTCCATTGTTTTTCAACTTGTCCTCCCAGAACTTTTGCAAAATTTTGTCAGCACATGCTTGGGCAATCTCTGCCTTGCGCTGAACTTGGCTGGTGAAATCGATATAGATTGAACCCATGTAGCTACTGCCGACCATGACATGAAGGACCTGGGGCTTTTTCAGGTTGTAGGACCTCAACAAGTACCCCCCATCTTGATCACAGATCTTCTGGTAAATGTTCTTGGCCGAAACAATTAGCTGGACTTGTTCTCCTGGCTGTAGATGATGAGAGGCATCGTCTTCCCGAGACCGTTTGTTGCTGATAACCACAGACTCAGAGGCCCGTTTGCGCTTCGAAGCTGTATCGGGCTCCTTGCTAGGTTGCCCTTGCTCTGTTGAAGCCAGGCGAAGCCTCCTCCTACAAGGTGTCGCGACTGCTTGGTTGGCTTCGCAGTCACTTTCGATCTCCATTTTGACAATGGTTGCCGTGCTGGGCTGCTCAGGCTTCAGCTTGCGCTTCTGTCTTGCCTGTGTTGGTGAATTTGATCTCTTGCTTGATTGGCTGTTTGAATGCTTCTGGCTGAAACTCTTGTTTGTGTTCGCTGGGTGCCAAGGATGCCGTTGCAGCAAAACAATTGCCCAAATCGATCCTAGCCAGGAATTGCAACATCTTCTCTCTGCTGGCTGGCTCTCCTGACAAAGCAAATCCTTTTAGCATTTCCAATGCTTTGTGGGCTGCTGCTTCTTGGTCAGATGTTGGTTCTTCAGGCTGTTGCTCCTTGCTAGCGGTGGTCTCTTCTTTAACTGCTGGTGGTGTTCCTGCTGCTAGCACTTTTGCCCTGCCGTTGCTACGCTGTCCATGTTCTATGTTCCCAGCTGCAGCCGCCTGTGGTGCTTGTTGAACAATTTCCTTTTGCTCAGGCACAGGTTTTGGCGAAGAGATGTCCTCT